GTGGTCTTTACATTCATTTGCTCAAGCTCTAAATCATGTTGATTTACCAAAGCGAGCAAAATCCGAATGGATGACTCTTCAATCTCTTCCAAGTGACTCTCGTCACTCGCGCCTCATTGCTACATCTCCCCAATAGCTCCATCTCAATTCCGGCTCTATCCTTAGTGACTGCCATGCTATCCTTTGCCTCTTGAGTAGCCACGGCCATGTAGAACTTGAATTCTCTAAAGACATCTCGGCTAATGACACATTTTGAAGCTTCATCTTCTTTGTACCAAAGCTTCCAACCCTTCACGCCTTCGAGATAACCAACAAACATGCACTTCTTTGCTCTTGGATCTAGCTTGTCCTCTCTTTGGTGCAGGTACGCCACACAATCAAATACTTTCAAGTTATCGAGCTTCGGTGTAGAACCATTTCACACTTCTTCCGATGTCTTGCAATTCAACGCCACCGATGAACATTGGTTTATCAAGTAAGCTGCTGTGTTAACGTCTTCTCCCCAAAACCGCTTCGGCAAACCTGCCTCGAATAACATGCATTTCATCCTCTCAAGTAGTGTTTGATTCATCGGCTTTGCAAGTCCATTTTGTTTCAGGATTCCCCGCACGGCCTTGTGCCTAACCATTCCTTCTTCCTTGATGAACCGGTTGAACTCATCATCCAAATACTTTAAACCATTGTCCGTTCGAAGCTTCTTGATGTTTCTCCCGATTCGTACCTCTACCATCTTCTTCCATTCTTTGAACTTTCCAAAAACTTCATCTTTATGCTTCAAGTTGTAGACCCAAACCTTTCGAGAACAATCATCAATGAACATGATGTAATACCAGCCTCCACCTAGAGTCGGCGTCCTCAACAGCCTCCACAAATCCGAGTGCACATAGTTCAACATGTCCCACGTCACATCCACGGACTGTGTAAACTTCACTTTCGTGGCCTTGCCGTGGATGCAATTTTCGCAAAACTCCAAGTCATCAAGCTTGTCACCCCCGAACAAACCTTGCTTACTCAACTCCTTCAAACCTCTATCACTCAAATGACCCAATCTTTTGTCCCAAAGGCTCGCCAACAATGTCTCTTGCGGTTCCGTAATCGCCGTCACATCGACCAATGTGCAATCCGCTCGATCCCATCGTGCGACTTAATTTGCACCGTACCGGTTCCGGCCACCTTACATGACTTGTTGTTCCCGAGCAACACCTCGCCCATCGCGACTTTCTCGTAGCTCTCGAAACAACTTTCATTCGTTGTCATATGGAATGAGCATCCAGAGTTCATGATCCAACATTTTTTGAAATGAGTGGTGGAGACAACAAGAACATTGAAGCTCCAATGTTCTTGTTGTCTCCACCATTGGAGCTCTCGTAACCATCAACAACTTCTTGAACAACCGCCGCCTCTCCGTCTCGTCTCTCGGCCGCTCCGTCTTCCCGATTTAGACAATTCTTTACCACGTGACCTTCTTCATGGCACTTATAACACTTGATGACAAATTTCTTTGAGTTCCGAGACTTTGACCGTGACTTTTTCTTTCCCTTGTCTTTCTTGTTGGATCTACCTCGAGCCGTGAACAAGCTATGTCCGCTAGTTGTTTCCATCTCTATCCGTTGTTTGTGCTCTTTGACTTTAAAGCTCCAACAACCTCGTCGAGAGTAATCTCCTCCCTACCATGTTGAAGAATGTCAACCATGTGCTCATACGACCTCGGCAAAGAATAAAGCAAAACCAACGCTTGATCGTCATCGTCGTACTTCACGTCAATGTTCTTCAAATCGACAATCAACTTGTTGAACTCGTCAAGATGCTCCATCAAATCCTTTCCTTCCGCCATCTTGAATGTGAAAAACCTCGCCTTGAGAAACAACCGACTCGACAATGTTTTCGTCATGTGAAGTGACTCTAGCTTCAACCATATCTTCAACCATATCTCGCTCTTCAAGATTCTTCTTAAAAACGGCTTGTAGATTTCCTTCCCCTTCTACTCTGAGTCTCCAAGATTCTCCATAACTATCACCGTCTTCTCCAACCGTTGCAACTTCATCAAACCAAGGGCAAAAGGTGATCAGCAGAGTCCAACATTTTACTTCAAATTTCTACCCAGACCATAACCATCAGCAATGATCTATGTTCACCCATGCTATTCAAATTACGCCAATGTATTCAAAAATTGTGTAATGTGTATTACCCGTCTACACCAAGTCTTGGTCGGATCTCACAAACAAAAGTTTATTCACATTATACATTGACATGCTTTTAGCTCAAAATATTTTACATTTTCATCGCTCAAAGTTGTTCACATTGGACGTACACTGTATATATGTGTGGTTGTATCTTTGTAAAATTAAACAATGAATTGACTTTGATTAGTTAAATTATGATAATTGTAATTTATGTATAAGTGTAAGGATTTGTATGTAAAATTATTTGCCTATAATATGTAGAAATATCCCATTTTTGGATTCATTATGAGACCAAAAAAAAAGCCAAAAAGCCATTACAAGATTGATAAACTTTGACACAATTTAGAGTCTAAAACTTAACATGGAAATTTAAAAAATGTTGAGTATAACCCTAACTTCTTATGTGAAAAAAGTTATCAGATTTTTCACCACATGTAAAAAAATTTGTGTTCAAAATGTTTCATATTTTATGATTTGCATAAATTGTAGATTTGCTTTTGATATGAGTAAAACTAGTCATAATATATATATGTATATGTATATAATTCAAATAGATTCATTAAGAAGCAACAAAGTGATTGAATTTGAGTTGTTTTGTATTTCACATGTATATTTGATGCTAAATTCTTATGTGTCAAATCATCAATTGACTATGAAAATATTAATTACAAAAGAAATTTGAATAAAAAAATTTATAATTAGATATGTGCCTGTCTACATAAATTGAAAAATATTTTAAATTTTCATATTTTAGTCTATAACAATGAAGTTGAGTATAAATAAAAACAAGAAAAATATTGGGTAAATTAATCATCAGAAAAAAATATTTAAATATACACAATTTTATTATATGATAGTTTGAAGTTTTACATCTAATTATCATGTAAATGATTAAAGTCTAGTGAAACACATCAACGTCATGTCTCAAATTTGTTAACATGTATTTTTAATAACATGATTGAACAAGTGAAGACTAACAATGACATAAATCATTCAGATAATTCAAATTTACGTTGGTTTCATTATACATCAAGACTATCAATGTACCCATGTCATTTTCTTTTTTCCTATTTGAATGTTTTTTTTTTTCGCCTTGCATTAATTCAAATGGTTTCATATCAATCAGAAAGTCAGAAGTAATACAATTGATATATAATGCAAATAGAAAAATCAAAACGATTCACTAATATCATAATCTGTATGAATTATAATTGCTTTGAAAATTGTTGTATGTATGGATTGAATATTTTCCATTTTGGATAATAAGTAATGAGAAAATCTTTTTTTACTCCACATGTATTAAAAGGGTCATAAAAACTAAAAGCATTCGATTTATCTTGATAGGCTGTTATCATTACAATAAATCTGGAGCAATATTCAACATATTCAAGTTATTTTAATTTTAGTTTTGTGTTCCTTTCACTTGTTTGTAGAAATCTTCTTTTGCTATCTGAGGATTATCAAATTATCTAAAACATACCAACTATCTAAGGATAGCAAGAAAAAATTAACATGAAAATGAAATGCACATATTAATTTTAATAAATAGCCTTCATTATATTTCAAGCAAACTATCATTGAATCATATATTCATGTACATTGACTTGTTTTACAAAATGTCATGCATTCATTACATTGTTGCATATGTTTAAACATCAAAATATAAGTTTAGTTCCAAAAGTAATAATTTGACTCTATATTGTGATCATATGTTTTCATGATGTGTTGAAAACAACTTGTACTCTACGTAAAAAAATTTTCAGTAATTTATTTTCATTTTTTTAATATTCATTTCACATCTAATTATAGATTTTTCCTCCTACCAAGATTAAATTTTTGAGCATTTAGTACCTTTACAGTTGATTTTACACAAATTTCTCAAGAGAAATTTGCTTGATGGGACCCCATCAGAACGCTGACTGCTTGATGGGACCCAATACGTTACATATTACCCGATGGGACCCCTCCGACGGGTCACCGTCAGTTATGTTCTTGTAACTGATTTGTTTCCAATTCAATGAGAAAAAATTATTTCTTCTCGAATTTAAGTTAATTAGATTTTCCATGGCTCCCAATCTTACATTATGGAAGAGCCCAATTTCAAGAAATTGGGCTCTTCCAATTTCTTGACTCCCATACTAATTTTACAGTTACAGTATTCTTTAATTTGTTTTCTAAATCTCTTGGTTGAAATCATGTTAGTTGCGTATTTTGGCATTTCACTTTTCAACAAAGATACTCAGTGTTTTTCCTAACTCACTTTAAAAGCAATTACAAGAACTCGCAGTAGAACATCGGTGGACTGAATTGCCAACCCTGGAACTTATTGGATCCTGTCACTCAGTCGACGTTCTAATGGGGTCTCATCAAACAAATTTCTCAACAGATTTAAATTATATCATACCATTTTCATTTCCCATCTTCCTCTTCTCCTCTTACTCCCAACTACCATATAACATATACAATATAACTATAAAGTGCATTGTGTATTGATTAAGATACCATTTTTCTTCCATTTGTCCTGACAATTTGTATTGCTGAGAATAGAGCATCGTTGATCGCATTATTCCTTTCCTTCGTGTCATTGAAAGCATACAGTTTGACATTTCTCCTTCTTTCTTCGTGGGATTATCACACAATAGATATTTAGGTGGAGTGATCGAATGTGGAATTTTATATAGGTGAAACCGTCACACCTAGTGTGTCGTCCTCACCCAATTCAACTCTCCACATTCATAGTTGCTTCAGTGCAAACTTGTACGTGCACACATATTCTTCAGAAGATAAGCTTGAAACAATCACATAGACTACAAATTTAAACTCTACAGGGCAAGACTGTTATTGCAGAATAAATACTATCTTCCATCGTCGTTACTTTGAAATGAAAGGCTCCAATGGAGAAATTATTCACTATCCTTAGAGGCCCAGGGGGATTGGGTATACCTCCCTCAATGTTCGTGGCCTCGAGAGACAAAATTGTACAGAGATTGGCAATATATGCAGACTTAATCAAAATGAGAAATCTCCAAAAAATGATCCCATGGATAATACGGAGAAGGCACTCCCTCCGCAAGAGAGTTCTCTATCTATCCGACTCTCCTGTACCCATTGTATGACCAAATTTCCTTATCCCTTCGGCCAATAGCCCTATATGTTACAACAGCGAGTTGCACTTCTTTAGACGACTAGTGGCACCTTCAGCTGGCCAAGTCTAAAACACGTGCAGCAACTCCTATATAATGTACGGGCACCTAGAAAGATACATAATTACATCGAGATCTACTGTGCTATTCTCGTCTCAGAATATAGAGGTAACGATATGCCTCGCTATCCTGTACGTACCTTGGGCGGCTAAAAACCACATCAAAGTGGAAGCGACACCCAAGACGAAAACGAAAACAAAACCACTATTAGATCCACGCACAACCCTTCTCTGGGTACGAGTGCCAACCACCGTGTGCGTTTGTTTCTCCGATCCTTGTTGTACAGCCCCCTTCCCGTCAGTGATGGATTGCCAAGAGTTGAAGACTTCTTGTTCATACACACCCTCGGAATCGCCATAACAGTCAGTCACGGCTGTCTGAACTTGTTGTTTGCCATCAGCAGAGCGCGTACAGGTCACAGTCACAGCGGCACTCACATGTATAGAGTTGTAAGAAGGCGAAAGCTCACCGAGATGAGATATCTTGTGGTCTGGAGGAAACTCAGCGGCTGAAGCAGGTAAAGCTGGAATGCTGCCCAAATACTTCAGAATGCTGGCCACAAGAGGTTTGGAGGACATAGTGCCATCATCAGTGACTGCCTCTGGGCTCATGGAATCATATGATAAACTTATTGATGGTTGCTGATAACCAGCATTTGTTGAGACCGAGGGCAGGTCGCTCCTAGGATCATGTTGAGACCAGCTATTTTGAGGCCCGTTGTCTTCTACTGGGTCATTCAGCGTAGGCAAGCTGAAACTGTTATCATGCTCGGAAAAGTCCACAAGGAAGGTGTCGGCAAAAGTGTCGTACGCCTCCTCGAACATGGGTTCGTTGTTCTCCACGTTGCCAGATAAACCCTCACCTGCATAAGAGCTGGATGACAATATCGATGAACTTGGGATATGCACGCCAGATGTATTTTGCTCAGAGCTACCTCCTGGGGGAGGGAATGTCCAAGCTAAACTCTGATCACTTGCATCGATCTGTGGTGGAGGAACCTGCATAATAAAAGCAAAATTTAACACTATAATAGTATGTGGAAGGAATAATACTAAATTGAAGGTGGACATATTCGTAGAGTACAATGAAACCTTGAGTACTGTATCAAAGAAGTCTGGATAAGTCATAAAATTTTAAGATTGTTTCGAGAGTCTGGACCTTATCAATGGGCAATCTCATCGACAGTACAACCAAAAATCACGAGCCAAACAACTGAAAGCATTACATTCGTTCAAACTGAAAACGTAATCAAAATCCATGACTTTAATTCCTTGACACAGTTAGACTACCTCAAGTTCTGTGGAAATAGAAAAAAACAATTCATTTCGCACTTCAACGTAATACCAGGAACACTTCGGATTTTCACCCGTAGATTCTAATAGAGGAGTCCTAAATTACTTCTACGTTACAACGGGCCTCTCATGTGTAGTCAAGCAACGATGCTGATTTCCTAGATGATTTCATCAGTGTTTCCACGACACATGCTGCAAGGAAGATACGTACAATAGATGCGTAACTTACTCTAAGAAACATCTCATACGAGTTTGTTTCACACCCCATAAGGGCATCATAATTCTCTAGCACACCCATGTCAAATCACTGACTTTTTGGAAGACAAGATCTCACCTCATGTGGAATATTGCTCTCAATGCTACGGACCACATTGGTATCATCACCATTTCGAACCCTACGAGGACGACATTGCCGCATATCGGAGCCATGTAGCTCTTGCTCCTCTTCTAGTGGTGGGAGATCTTGCGATTCATCGGCTAACTCCTGTTGCATCAATTCCCAATATAGATTTGATTCTCCAACCGGGGCAAAACCAGTAGCAACAGTAGAAGATATCGGGAAACCTGAGCTGCCGTAGTCACCTTCAGGATAATTATCTAATATACAGTCCCAAAACCGGTCTTCCTCATCCTGCCACAACAAATAACTCCGACTTAGTCCCAACATCATCATGACGTCAAAAGTCAACTCATGACAAGTGGTGCCACACGAAGCATACAAAAAATCTCAAACATCCGAAAAGAATAATTATAAAAATGGTAGTCACCTGGTGGAAAGAAGATTGGGTCGTGGGAACGTGCACTGAGGATGGAGCGTCGACTACCACTGGGGCGAGGTCAGACTGGTAGTCATGTACAGAGATGACTGGGGGAGGTGTCTCGGCCTGAACAATCTCCGCTTCTTCCATAACCTCTGCTTCATTCAAAGCTGGGCTGTTGCTTGTAGTTGGCAAGACAGGAGGCCTGGATCGTTGTTCAGGTACGACATCGTCGTCATCCACATAGGTTGGAGGGCCTCGGTCCTCAGGACTTCTAGGACCAGGACCGCTCTTTTTGAATACTCGGCACAACACGAAAGCGTCCTGCAAAACCCAACAGCTCCCATGTAAACATTACAATCCACCCGAAACTTCACAAATAGACGAAAGGAACATCAGAGGTATGAGCTACCACGGGTAGATTTTAAAGAAAAACGTACTTGTGAGAAGTCCACCGCCTCCTCTTCTTCCCAGCGGTACTCATGCATGACATAGTCTGTCCTCTCGCCATGCGGAGCTCTGCCCCTATAAAACACAAGAGTTTTCTTTGCACCGATAACATTCTTGCCTTGCCTCTTAACATTCCTGTCCTTTCCAGTAGCCTTCCAATAACCGGCTTCCGTTGCTCGATTAGTTCTCAGGCCATTGGGGTACTTCTTGTCACGAGGACTGAAAAAGTACCATTCTGAATCCGGGGTGACGATGAGGGACATGCCTGCAACACAAATCGAGCAGATCTCAGCACACGAGAAAGGAAGAAATCATACACGAAATAGAAATCAAACCAAATAGCAAAAGCATTGACCACACGAAATCCCAAGCCAAAATTCGCTGCAGCTCCTGCAGCTAGAACTTACCAGCCAAGTCCCACGGTTCCCATTTGTACAGATCAACTACTGCTACAACATTTTCAGGGATCGGTTTCCGCTGAATCTTTCTCTTTAGATAGTAACCGACCAGCTCCTCGTCCGTGGGGTGGAACCTGAACCCGGGGGCCAGCATACCAGACTCATTAAGAGCTGGAATCGACCGGTCCGCCATCTTCACAAACGTATACCAATCAGCAATCACGCGCTCGCTCAACCACAAAAGGAGACGACCTCGCCTCGACTGTCACGAAATAAGTCCGAAATTCAGCCCCGATCGATAGGCCGAGTGATCAATTTACCAATCTACCAATCTACCAATCCACCCACCAGCCTATCGCCACTACTGAGAAGCAGACGCGCTCAACGATTGGGGCTTCGTTTGCGAAGGCCGGGTTGTCGAGAGTAACAAGTAGCGCAGGAGAGGAACCCCCGACGCTGTTGATGCGGTCCAAGAGAGAGGGAGGATCCCAAACAGGAACACGGGCTCATGATACGGGGGACGAGAGTTTTGGCACCCGACGCCTCTCACACTCACACACCCTGCCACGAAGATTAGAAGGCAGGCAGGCGGGCAGGCATGAAGGCCGGAGAGCACCTCACGCTACAGCTCGAGACTGGACGAGGGGCCTGTCGACGACGACGCTCGGGAGGGCCAAAGAGGCCCGGAACGAAAGAAGGCGGTGCTTAAGAATCCTCGACGCCCCGGTCAAAAGGCTCATCCTCGGCGCCGGGGGACTTCCGCTCCTTGGTGGGCCCCGCCCGCCACTCCCTGGCCGATTCTCCCGGCTTCTCCCTGAAGCTTCCGAGTTCCTACCACCTCCTCCTCCTCCTCCGACCTCTGGTCACTCGACGTCGTTCGCACCTGCTCTCCGTCAGCCCTCTTCTCGTTATATAGATCGTCTTTCGTCGGTGTGCTCCGTCTCTTCTTTCTCCAACATTAGGGACGTCCGTTTCTCCTCTCGTCGTTCCCGATTTGGCTGGGAGAAATGTCCTCGGCGAAATCTCGCCGGAGGATAAACTGGTTGCCGTCGCTCGTCTTCCTGGACATTCGATTCGATCTGATCTTTTTATTTCCCCGGTTTGTGGAGTGTGACAAGATTCTGAATTGGCACTCGGGGCGGACCACACAATGCTGATCCTCCACTTTGGAATTCTTTTCTACTACTATTCTCTGCTTCTCTTGATGGTGCTTAAATTCGATCACCGACTAGTATCCATTGGAACACTCAAGCCGACTGTAAGATATTTATATATTAATGGAAGATAGTGAGAGAGATTCCAACACCGTGTAAAAAGTGGCCCGCTCGATGAGCGATTTAGAAGCGAATTACCATTTTTTTATGATTTATAGAATTTATTAGTTTGAAGTAGCTGATATTCCGATTTCTACTATTTCCATTCCAATATCTTCCCCGGAGAGAAACTCTGTCGACACCGGACGGCGAGATCTGTTGGCTCGGGGAAATGGAAGAAAATTATTCCGAAGTTGGGGCAATCGTTCTCGGCGCCATGTGACACCGAACGGCGAAACGAACGTCACTAGGATATGAGAAAATAGACTCTCCCTCGTCAATTTAGTAAACGGAAGCAGGCGTTGAATGTGAGGTATGCGGTCTTCCCAATTTTGTGGCTATCTTACTCGCTCGCTCCTATCACAGCTGGAGGGAGAACTATAGGGAGGCTCGAGTCCAATCGAAGGTCGTGACATACTAGGATGACGCTCGCTAAGTCCGCTGTCGCTGAGCTCACTCTGCACGCGTGCACGGAAAAGCCTCGAGCTCGCGTACACGGAAAGGTCTAGAGCTCAACCAAATTACCGGTTTTTTAGTTCGCCTGCCACAGAATGGCGGGTCCGCCATTTTGAAAATGTCTCTAAAGTTCATTTGCTGAATTGTAATTGGAAATTGATGCCCTCAATTGTCGGTGCAAATGGAGTACACGGTCTCCTCCTTATTACCACCGCTTATTGCCGAATGAGAGACTTCACAGCTCCGCTGATTTGGAGCAGTATTTCCTTTACAATCCGGGTCGTGAGTTCACCGGTACACACGTTACTGGTGTTATTCCTTCACCCTGATCAAATGTATGATTCTAGATCAAGAAGGAGAGAAAAAATATGAATCTCACCTTCTGAACTAGGAAGAAACAATCCAATAAAACCAGGCTCCGTGAAGTAATTGTTCGGCATAGGCTTGATACGCTTCCTTTCGGAAAACAAGTAATGTATATCAAATTCACAGCTTGAACTGAAATCATAGGCAGCAGGAGTATTGCTAGAGTTGGAGTCACAAACTCAAAGGGGGCATGCCTAATTTGCATGCTTGTATGTATAAAAAAATTTACTCATACAGACATGTACGTATAAACAAATTTATATATATAGTCTAGAGTTATAGACGTATATCAGAGAAGAAGACTGTGGGATAAGAGAGAATATAAAAGTATTTTCACTTGGAGATTCTGCTCTAGTCTGTTCTGGGTTTTAAGCTTTCATTTTTGTGTTGATTGATCCTGCTTAGTGCTTTATTTCTATAGATGTATATTTTATGATACGGTCAAATGCCCGTATTTCAATACGGGCATGCCCGGAGGCATGGGCATGCCTTTTGATCTTGAAATGGGGCATGGGCATGCCCTGAAAATTTTTGTTGTGCCTCCAATCCTAAGTATTGCACTGGCCGCCAGATTTGGACAGGTCTAAGCAACAGGGTGCGCGACGGAAAGAGCGGATGGATGGATGATGGTTTACCCGAGGTGGGACGGTGGGAGAACTTAACCGGGGGAGCTCTGAAGGCGGAGAAAAAATTGGCAGAACAGGAAAGGTAACCGGAACCTTCTTGCCCTTCGCGTCCGCGCAAGTTTGTCTCTGTCGCATTACATGTCTGCCACTCGCCCTTTTCTGCCTTACGCCGCAAGTAATCCTCATTTCGCGCGCTCCTCTGTCTCCGGAACCAGACCCCGTCTCCACAATTTGACCTCGTCGGTGCAAGTCAAGTCTGACTTGGTGGGTCCCCGCATACTGAGCGCAATTGCAATTATATATATAAGATTCACTTGCTCGGTTCGAGGGGAGGTGTCAGTGCGCGTACCGCGTAACCATGTCGAACCAGGTTCTTGCCTCGTAGTAGCGCAAGGTCGAGGGGTTGGACGAATGGTGTACTTTGGCACCCTTGCTCTCCTCCAATTGCAACAATTGCAACAATCCTCCACTTTTGGTTCTCCTCGATGACCGACCAGCAGCAGCAAGGTGGCTTAACGGGAATGGAGCCTCAAGCAGGCAGACTCCTGCTGTACCAATTGTCTGTAGATGACTCCCGTGTGGTGATCAAGGTCACGATCGATTATGAAAAGTGCCAAACATGCGGTTTGGATATAGGACCCAGAATGCGGGTCAAACATGAAGTCTTTGACAAAAATGATGTTGCATTTGATACTACACAAATTAACTCACCAAAATGCACAATGTTCGAAACTTCATTGATAATAACATATCAGTTGACTTGAGATAAAATCATACACTTTTAATTTAATTTCTATATGTATTACATGATTTGCATTCTTTTTTTCAATTTTTCAAATAAGATATATAATATAATTATAACTATTTTATACAATACAGATAACTCTTTAAATTTTAGAAGACAATTTAATCCAAAGCTTCTTGTACTACGCAATATCATAAACTTGTGCAAATCATCACATCTACTTAGGATTGTTTCTTTTATTCATTTCCGGTTGTTTGAATTAATTTTCTAATTATATTTTAAAAATGTTGAAGAATTTATATCAATATTTACTGATACAGTTTTTGAACCTGATCATATATTATTTTTCCAAATTTATCTTCCTATATATGCAACCTATTTGTTTGTAGCATGTATAGAAGATTAGTATTATTACATTCAAGCATGTGGCTGTAAAATGCATTCTTGTATTCTTTGTGTGAATCATAGACTTCAATTTTTACTTCAGATTATATCATTTTTGGCATATTAAAATTACTTCATACAAAGTTTGTAGCAATTTTTTATGTGTTTGTTTTTTCTTGTAGCGTATCACTAATATAATGATCAGTGTATCTTGTATGTGTTCTAAATAGGAGATTTAGACATGTTATGAGCTGGAACATGGTTATTCTTCCTCTCTTTTAGTCTTCATGATTCAATGAAAAAAACATCTCTAATAACAATAATTTTACAAGTTACTAAATTCCACTCCCTATAATTTTTTGCATAAATGTCATATCAAGAAAAGAGCTTACATATATAGATAACCTCTTTGATACTATCTTCAGCTTGGAACTATTTTACTTGGAAGTGAAAGTATATATATTGCAACCAAAAATTCTTAATCTTTTATAATTAACCATCGTTTTCAAACGGTATTGAGAAATAAATTGCATTTGATAGAAAAAGATATAGCAATTAAATCGTTATTATAATATCTTTAATCCAAGATTTACATGATAAACTAGATTGATTAGACATACTTTACAACTTTTCCAATTCTATACTATTGAGAATAGCATCTAGGACGGGTTATATAGTGTGGTGAGATGTCGAATAATCCACTCTCTTAGCGATATCTTTCAAACTCCAATGCAAAGATAAGAAAAATATGACATCTTGGCATATCCTTGTACTTGAAGATATTGATCCTTGCGATCACATTTGCCTTCCATCTATTATCAATACTCAACAGAACTCTGACAAATTGTCATGTCGCCTATCTAGTATCGAAACTTTTGAAAGATCAGATCGGATACGAGATTTGGTATTTTTGATGCTAGTTCCAACTGGAATTGGACCAGCAATGTATCACACATCTCTCAGGTTGATCCCAACAACAACAAAAGCCAAACAAAAATGGCTAGTGGTTGAGAAGGCTGATTTGTGCCTTGCATGTAATCTGCAATGATAGGTTTCACAACGAAAGGTTTCCTATATGTATGCTATGGGAGAGAGAAAAGGGGTTTATAGAAGCAGCCACAATCATGTCTATTGCTAGTGGAAGTGTAATACCTCTCAACTGGAAGGACTTTTGTAGATATAGTTATCTTACTGGTAAGAATTCAACAATTGGCTTCGTTGAGGAGAAGAATGCGGCTTCTAATGTGGCCCTGCAGAGCGTGCAGGATCTGTACGAGTACTAAGGTTTCTCTTGCTGCAGCAGACTCATGACTCCTCTTTGCGAGATCGACCCTCCGTACAAGAAAGGTTTCGATCCTCAAGTATCATGCTGAAGAAGCAGTTACTGGACACAAAGAAATTGCCATTGTGGGGTTTTTGGACACAAAGGAGGAAAGTACAGTTGGTTTGGTGGAGACAAAGGAGAAGATAGTTGTTGAAAAGAAAAAGGTTGAATAGGCTGCAAGGAAAGCTGCAGAGTATATCAAAATCTCAATCCAGTACTGCGCCAAAAGGGTGATTTTGGAGTGTCCCTGGAGATTCTTGTGCCAAGGCCGAAAAGCACGAGGTCCATCCCTTACATCGCGAAACGTGTGTTGATTCCTGTGTTGTCAGGACTGTATGCCGAAGACGTATTCAAACAAGGTGGAAATTACGAGGTCGTCGACCGGCTCATTGAATCTCCTAATGAAGACTCCTCTAGTATCACATATCCAATGCTTCGTGTGTGACTAGATTCTGCAATAAAACTGTGCATGTAAACACATGATGGAAATTGATATCTCATATCAAGTGTTAGATCCCCCACAAAAATTGGATACACCATGTGATATTAAAAATGGGGAATTCCGGTAGAATCAAAGGGCTATGGCATAACCAAATTAAAACGCCGCCCGGGGGGCTCGAACCCCCGACCACAAGGTTAAGAGCCTTGCGCTCTACCAACTGAGCTAGGGCGGCTTACATGACACATAGATGACATTTATAAATCTATATTTAATTTTCTTGTTTTATCTGCTATTTGTTTTGATTTGAAAGTATTGACCTCTCCCTTTAGTCTGAGAAGTGACCGTATTATTTACATGGTGATTGAGGTTTTAGATTCATGAGGAAAAATTCACAATCTTCCATGCCATTTTTCCCGCTTTTTTATATCTTTTCTGTTTGCTATATTCTCTTCATTTTACTGTACTTACTTATTAATCTCGATACCTCTTATCAGCTCCTACTACATGTCTTACGCGTTTATGGCAACTGGAAATGGAACGACAATAGTTACAATTTGTTTGGAAATGCATACATACTTACTATAGAATTTATATTTCTTATTGATTACATCTCTTTCCTTCAAACTGCTATATTAACGCCCATTAATCTTTTCCAGGCTTTACGGAGATAGTCTCTTTCGTATTATTTGATGAGACCCATTTGAACACAAATAGATCGATGGAATCCATCAGGTATAATTTTAAACTATGGTATTCTTAAAAAAACCTAACTAAAATTCCAAAACTAACCTCGAATAGTAATGGTTGTTGGCACATGGGTTAGAACTATGTCTTGTTCTGATTGAGGATAATCGATCCCAGCCACTGGTTCTTGAAACCTGCTACCTGATGTACGCAATTAAGTCAGGAACTCTTTGATAAGCTTGTCGTTGTTATTGCCAGTGGCAATCGTTTGGGGTTTCCCATAGACGGCAATCGTACGGGGCTACCCACAGACGATTCGCAAGACATAATTTCTTATGCAAGGACGACCCTAAACATTGAGAGAACTTCTTTTTAAGTCGAATACCTTCCTTTCCAGCTAGACGTTAGTGCTGGGATGTCAAGGTCATGCGCACAGTTGGTCACTGATTCAACTCGGTTGGATTTTCCAAGCGGACACTTTCCCTCACTACAACTCATAGTATGTAATTGCAAGAGCTTTTGTAAAATGTGGTGACGGTAACGTGTTTCGACCGGGTCCCATTGAGTAATTTGTTAGATGGGTCCCATCGAGCTAATTGTGTTCCAGTAGGGTCCTATAGGGTAAATTGAGTAATGTGTCCCATAGAGTAATTTGGAAAGGTACCGGGAAAGTCCGGAGTGAGTTGATGTTCTAGTACGGTCCCATCGGGTATTTTGTGTGACGCATCCCATCGAGTAATTTGCAAAGGTTACGGGAATGTCAAGAGTAAGTTAAACATGTGTCACAACGAGATTCTCTTCTGTCTGAACGGATATTGGACGTTGGGTTCACATAAAGACACAGTTCTTTAACATTCTATGACATGGCGATAGTTCGAGCACTAGATTTTGATTCAATAACTGTCCATACACCATGTGTAATATTTCTTACCAAAAGAATCTTCTACCGTCAGTCTACTGCACACAGTAAGAGCAAAAAACTTTCACAGCACAAACCAGAAAAACTGCCATGTTAACTGTGTTCAGACATGACGCCATACCCGTTGCGAAACGTACACACTACCCCCATACGCGTACAATAAGATGTCACTATTTCCACACCTCAATTTTCTTTCCACTTCATACGTCCACATTCAACAACGAAAGAGACGTGGCTGTTTTACACTTGGATGCAAGATACAGGACTTCGATTTGGTGCAAGAGAATCAACTTTACGACAGCGTAAAAACAGGCAGGAAGCCTGTTTCGAAGACACGCGGTTATCCAATTGTATCTAAGGACAACTGTGGTTGAGATATACTAAGAGCTAAACTAAATACCCGTCGTCCACTATCTAAGACATAACAGACCATCCGAGCTGAACGCAAAAAATCTAGGGCACAACAGCGCAAGTAATAGAACAATATTTGAAATAGCGCCAATCCACTTTAAATGTGTTATGTGAACTTAGCGGCTGCTAACCTCCATTTCTGTACAGGTGAAAATCATTGATCTGGCAGCACATCAATTACCATTACCACTACACCAGCTTGTACGATTATGCAGAGCATGTCATGCTGAGGTAACAGAAGAGACTTCTGCTGGCCTCAATGCTGGGTCTGCTATCTTTCTTATGCCAGTCTTTTAATCAGCTTGAGATACGATTCCACCCGACACTATACTACCAAGGGGTTTCCTTCGAAACCATGACCTCATCAGAAGGGCCTAACTCATCCTGTAATCTGGACAGCGCATATCTGAGCTGTAATGCTCGCCAGCAGATAATCTGCCGTGACAAACCATGGCACAAAAAATGGTGATAAACAAAATCCCAGCTCCATGGCATAACGGCGATGTACTGCCCGTGAAAGAATTATATCTTAAAGTTTAATCAAGTAAAGCCGCTCAGCAACAGTAGTCTGCGGCTAGAATTAACGCCTACTGCGATCTGGCCGATAGGGAGAACTGCGGTCATTTACGGGGGCAGCGGCGCGTTCTGCAGAACGGTAAGGAGACCGACTGCGGTTCTTTGAGCGGTCTTCGCTATATCGCTCCTCGTAACTGCGGCTGCGACTGCGGCTTCGGCTACGGCTGTAACTTCTGGCTCTGCCACGGCTGGGGCTGCGGCTGTAGCTCCGGCTGTAGCTTCGTCCTCTCTCTTTGTCACCACCGTACTTCCGTACACTCACGTCCTCGCCTCTGCCTCTCTCTCGGTCATCTGCGTACCTGTCCCGAGTCAGGTCCCTGTCCCCCGGACCAAACCTATCTCGGTCGCCGAATCGGTCATGGTGACGGTCTCTATTGTCCGATCGGCCACCGTCTCTGCCACCGTCCCGTCCACCGTCTCGGCCTCCGCCGCCGGACCAACCACCTCTCCCCCCGTAACCATCACTACGACCGCCGAATCTCCCCCCGCCACCGCCCCGGCCGCCACTGTCCCATCGACCCCCCATACCTCGAGATTTGATGTACCCACCCCGCGCAGCAATATCTCTCAACTCCTGAGGCACCTTTTGATTGGCACCTTCGAGGACTTTGATCAACTCTTTCGCGTACTTCCCGTCCTGCTCGGCGAAGAACGTGTGAGCTAGACCTGTGGCGCCTGCTCGACCAGTTCTTCCAATCCGATGGACGTAATCCTCCACTCCGGTGGGAAAGTCATAATTTATAACCACCCTGTACAGAAATGCATGCAGGTAAAACGTGTCATACGTAAAATCACCATAAAAAATTCCCATTCCTACTGCGCAGTCAAAAACCTCGCCACAAGATAGACATGCGACGACCTCATACACAGCCCACTGCAGTGTCCCCAGTATCCTCTAGTCACAATACAACATTCAAACAAAGAAAACATTTCACAACCCCGAGCAGATTGAACCATCAAGTTATCCTTTCCGACAGAACCTACAGAAACAAATTTTTGGACACAATCCTACTCCAATAGCTGATAATCACCTGATGTCTTTGATGTCCAGTCCTCGTGCTGCTACATCTGTGGCGACTAATACAGGAGACTTTCCAGTCTTAAATTGAGAAAGAACCATGTCACGCTCACCCTGTGACTTGTCACCATGGATGGCTGCTGCACCAAAGTCACGACCTAAACTACGTGCAAGTTGATCACACATGCGTTTTGTAGAACAAAAAACAATTATCTTCGAGCCTGGTTCTTGACTCCGAAGAATCTGCTCCAACCTCCTTTGCTTCTCAAAGGGTGGAACAACTTCTACATGCTGCGCACACAAAGTGATATCAGTAGGGGATATTTTCAGTACGTTTGAAAAGTATTCCATTATACAACTCGTCTAACAAAACGAAGTAATCGAGCTACACACGAAACAGTTTTGATTATGACGACAACATCTGATGTAAAAACGACCACAGACGCGTCACCTGTCAAAAGGATTGTTCTTCACAGATTTTTTCGCACTCAAGTCAAGTATATCTCCTAGCGTGTTTTAGATGCGTATCGGTGCATATACGCAGAAAACACAATTGCACATGATACTCCTAAGTACACAATTCAAGAACAAAGACTAATAGATACTTACTGCAACTATTGCAAAGATTCCTGCAAGGAAACAATACGTCGAGCACATGTTCGTGCTCGACGTATTGTTTTCTTTTTCGTGCATTGTGTCCAGTCTGACGCGAAGTAACAAAAGACAAAAAAAAACAAGTAACAAGTACAAATTTGTTTTGACAGGTCACATGACCGCGAGACGCTATAATTTTCTCACGTGAACGGAACTGGAAAAGACGAAACGTGACATTCAGAGATTCTCACGTTCAATAGTCTCTAGTTCAGCTGAGGACTGAAAAACACGTTGCAATGGACTTGATATTTGCTCAGATCTTCTACTAAGTTATTAGTCTGCGAGATTCTCTTGATGATGGACTTGCACAAACCCGTTGGTGAAATTCATAGATAAGGTTCAAGATGGAAACCAGTAGGCCGGCATTCAAAATGTCATCAGGTGTACACACTCGCTGCAACCGTACTTGAGAATGAAGAATACATATACAATTTGTCTGTCAGTACATCTCACCTGAGTGATCGACTTGTTGGCCGACAATTCATCCGTATTTCCGATGTTGACCTGCACGGGGCTGACAAGCAAATCCCCAGCAATTTTTCGAACTTCCTTAGGCCATGTGGCAGTATACATAAGTGTTTGCCTTCTAGCCGGGATTTCATTCACGATCTTTCTGATTTGAGGCTCAAAACCCATATCCAGCATCCGATCTGCTTCGTCTAGGACCAGGTAAGTCACTTGTCGCAGACTGACTTTTTTCACTTCCAAAAAATCATTAAGTCGCCCTGGAGTGGCGATAACAATATCTGCTCCTCGCTCGATATCCCGCAACTGAGGACCTTTGGGGGCACCTCCATACACACACTGATAACAGATCTCCGAATGAGCTCCAAGACTTTTTAACAACCACGTAATCATATTATAAAGAATTTTTCTCCAGCTTCAACCAGAACTGGAGACAAAATCAATGCAGATGACTTCCATTTCACTTACAGCACCCCTTCAAGTATGCAACTCTGCTTTGTATTCTTACCGTGCTGGTTAACCTTGAGGACCTGCCAAACTTAACAGCTTCATCTTGAATTTGAGTAGCCAACTCGCGTGTTGGAGCAAGCACCAGCACAGTAGGGCCCAACCGCGAATTATTACGGTTGCGTTCCAGATGAAGAAAAGCAGGAACCAAGTATCCCAGAGTCTTCCCTGATCCTGTCTTCGCGATAGCTACAATGTCCCGGCCCTGGAGTGCAACGGGCCAGGTTTGGGCTTGAATAGGAGTAGGCGATTGAAACCCTGCAGTTCGTAACTGCCAAAGCCGACAAAATATGTTAGATATGTCTGACTGTGGTAGGGGGCGGAGTGTTGTGGGCAACTAGGTGTAACGGACAGTTGTACAGGGCATTATGCAAAGACAACCATGCATCTGAAACTGCTGGCTGTCCAACACAGAAATACGTCTGCAGGATGCTTGCCCTTTGTCAAGATAAGACGCAAAGACAAAAGAGAGGCCATACATAGGCAGATACAAGCAACCACAAACAATCCCCAGGGCTGATGGGTGCTGCATGGTTGCCTGCTGGTATCGACAAGAAGCCGGAACCAGGGCCTCGCAGACTGGCCAGGGACGCACGGGTAGCCCAAGCACTGGCAGCCCCGACCCCTTCAAAGTGATTCTGATAAGCCATCCTCAGACAGCGAAGCCCCAAGCAGAAAGGGCCACACAGGAGCAGCCCCCGTAGGAGGACAGCAGTGTGCTACATATTTGTTGTACAGCGGCACAGCGTACGACATAAGCTCCAAGCTGGAGCAAATATCGCACCTGCGAGAACAGTCCCAAGGATAATGGACACAGTAAGTGTGACTCTCCTTCAAATTAGAACATAAATCAAAAAAGCAAGGAGTTCTTACTCGGCCCAATACTATGCGAACAATCTCAACCAAGCAAAGAGGGAATGTTAGGTTCCATTACCCTTGCTTATATCCTTGATAACATAAATAGCATGGATCCTTACTTCTAGGTCTAATCTATCCTGTTCTGCACTATCCTAGACAGTTCCTGCTTAGCTATCGTCCCTACAAGTCTTCACGCGATGACGTAAGCTATAAGCGAAGAGGTTAAACTTAACATACATTCAATGGACGCAGAACTAGTAATTCAGTGCTTACCTCTCTTAAAAGATCGGGAGAAAAGTTTGCCGATTCAAAGCTCATGATGGGAGCCGGAACATTTTCACCCTGGAAGCGCAGCGGTCAGAATCATTAGGCAGCAAAACAGAAGAACAGAATGGGTACGACAAGAGGCGTGATAAATGTGCTCTGAGGTTCGCAGCTTTACTTCGTCAATCTTGTAAAAGAAAAAGCCGTAGATTGTGAATGAAAGCTTGGGCACCGAGTTGCAGCACCAAAACAGTACATCACCGTGATGTGTAGCTGTACCCTCATGCAAACCCATAAAATACATACCAAGGCAGACACTTCATGTTGTCTTCGGTAGGCGTCGACTTCCGCAGAGCTAACGACCCCAGGGTAAGTCTGGGTTCTAGGACGCTTGAAAGCATCCTGCTCATTGTAATCAAAGTCATCAGCACCACGCTTGAAACCACCGCCCGGAACCCCTGCTGATGCAGGTGGACCAGAACTTTGACCGTTGGTGGCACTTCCACTCATGTGGGGTGGCATTGACATTCCTCCGCCACCCTGTACCAAAGTAATCCAAGTAAAGATTGTCAACAAAAGTAAACGTACAGAACAATACCAAGTCAGTTTATCGCTGTAATCAGAAAATTGGAGCAAGAGCAAGTTTCGGAATTATAGAAAAACGGACGGTGAGTAAGAAGGGATTAAACTCGACAGAAATCCACCTCCCGATGCAAGACCACGTGTTATACACAATGGCTAGCTGGCTTAATTCTTGATCTTGGTAGTCGAAGCTCAAGGTCGTTACTCTTGATCTTCCTCGCGAGCGGCGAGTACCAAGATCAACAGTGCTTCCTTTCTTGTAGCACCATCAATAGGGGGTGTTTACATGTTTCTAGTTCCGACTTCACAAACAGCATTACTTTTTCAAGGGAAGAAAGCATCCGACCAGCCCCTACTGATACATGGATCTCACGCACACAACACAAGACTACCAGTCTGTGACCAATGATGAAGTGATCCAGATACGATCGGGAGACGAACAACTCGATGTAAACATCAAAGCTCGTAGAAAAGGAAAGGAAACAAGGCAAGAGAAATCGAAACAAACACAACGGCGTCCTGCGTATGGTTTGTGATGATCGAGGGCACTGCTTTCCTAATGAGCAGATTTCCGATCTTACCTGAGGCCCGCGAACCAGCGGAATAGCTGCAAGCTTGGGTTGTCCAGCCATGCTTCCGACACCACCGCCGCTGCTATGAAACGTTCCGGTGTTGCTAGCATGACCATTCGTGGGTCCACCGTTATGGACATCGGAAATCGCAGAAGGCCCGCTCGGAATCGGTGCCAACTTAGGACCGGGTGCGACAGCGACAGGCGGGGGTCCGGTGGGAAGAGGGGGCGTGGCTGACGAAGGGGGGGGAGCAGGCTTCTCATATTGCGTGACATTAGTCTCGGGGTTCCAGTAGTATATGTAGCCCGTACTTCCATCCACTAGAGCTCTCCACGGAGGAGGCAACGTCGCATCAGGAGGTGCATATCGAGGTCCGGCTGCAGCCACTGCCGCGGCCACCATCTCTCAATCGGCTACACAACGAACACCAGAATTTCCAGCCTCTCCCTCCCTTCTCGCCAATCTTCCGTCCTGCTGTCCCGTACCCTCTTCCTACCTGTCGCGCCTTCACCTTCAAACGTCGTGTCCAATTTTCTGTAGAAAAAAAAGCACACGATCAATTAGACGGCCGTCTGAACTCCGGCACGCGGTCGATGCTCGGCCTGATGCACTGGCCGATCGATCAATTCGGACAAGAAGGGTCAAATGAACGAGAATTAGGTCCCCACAGTCGGTGAGGTGGGTGGTGCAGGAGCGATCATCACCTGAAGGGGGTAGCACCCCAACTGAGAGAACAGCAAAAGGAGAGGGAGAAATGAATCCTGCGAAGAAGAGGAGATGACTTGGAGGACCTACCCGCCTTTGCGAGCCAAGCTTTGCACTGGCTGGACCCTTTCAGTCCTGGCAAGCTACCTGCCGCGAGCTGAAGCGGACTGCCTCTCCCTCGTCCCTGCCCTAGCTCCGAACCCGTCGATCTTGCGATTCCAGTTTCCCATCGACGCCGACTACGTGTCCACGTGGTCTGACTGTCTACCACGCTCTGCTTCTACACGGTGCCCTCCGCCCTCTGACTGCACTTCTCGTCTCCACGGTAACGACGAGGCACGGTTTCTCTGTTTGGTTATGATTACTTGCTGCGGTGGCCAAAAGGTGGAACTGCCTGTAACTAAAACCGTTCGATGCTGTATGTCCAACTCGTTTCATTATTAGATTATTTCGCAAAAGTTTTGTGCCCGGTGTATGCACCGCTACTTGCGCATATTAAGCAGCCCGTGAAGTTCCTCTTTCCAGATCCTAACTACAATCATTTGCAATGATAACTACTGATTTGAGTATCACCCACGAGTCTACGGTCGATTGGATTTTTAGAAATCCATTCGCTGGTTTCAACTTTTGTTCACTATCATCAGTCGCTTCGAACAAAGGAAGAGCCCGAAATTGTGGAAATTATTACGAGATTGTTTATTCGGATATCGAGAAAAAAAGTCAAGCTTTACTTACACAATCGAGTCTACTATTTTGTGATTAAACATCTCCTCACACACTCAACCTGTTTTCAACCCCATGTAATCCAATTTCATGCCCGCAAAATATTTTTCAAGTCATGAGTTGGTGTTGAAGACATACCTCTCCAAGTAATAGAATCATAAATTTTATTTTGAAAATATTTTACAAGTTTGAGGGTTCATCTTTGAATTTGTAAATGAAATTTCTGAAAACTAAGTTTTTATTTTATTTTTTATCAATAAATTATCAATAGCATGAATTTCTAAACTTATCGAAACTTGGATGCCAACAAATTACTGCTGTTAGAGGCATTGCAATAGTTCAAGATCAACAAATTTCAAAAAAGAATTACCAAACATGATTAAAAAACAGAACAATGTTTTCGACTTCTATATATTAATTCAATATGAATGCCTTCAAAATCAGACGAAATTAAGCTATATTTCAGTTCACGTGTATACATAAACAAAATAATTTGTAACATGAAATTTGTATAACTTTCACTTAATTACAAGAGTTAATATTTGTTTTTTGAAATTCAAATATTCTCATGTTATAATTATAAAAATATAAATTGAGAATCGTGAGTGACAAGACAAAAAGGTTTAACAACCAACAACATGCATACAACGCGATTCACTTTGAAGTGCTCCGTACGGAATATCATCGAGATAGTGTGCATACTGTTTTGTAATACACAGACGCTAGGTATATATATTAAATATTGACTCAGCTATAGTTAGCTAGACTTGAGGTTAAATTTTAGCCTAAATTAATTTCAAAAATAATCAGTTTCTATTATTTCAAAAAATATAATTTTTTTCTTTAAATCAAAAATTAACATATCGATACATTACAGTCTTATGGTATTTCTCGTTTGTAACTTCCTTTTGACAAAGTATCAGTTTTGTAATCGTTGTCCGCCTGTACCAAATGTAAATAAATAAATAAACTAATTGCTGATAAGAAAATATTTTTCTGGAATATTCAAATTTTCTAAGTATATAACATAGACGGTTGGATAAGCTCGTAGTAAGCAAGGAAATCAGCTATCTATTATTCTTTTCACCTATAATGCACTTAATGTATAACATGACATGGAATCTTTGTTCTATAAAAAAATGAAAAGTTAAGCAAACTCAGCTTATTCTAATTAATTAAAAATATCAAATTTTAATTTAAGTAAAAGTATGTTTTGAAATAGAAAAAAATCCTATAATTGTTTATAATATTTAATATAATTTTTACATAATATAATATGTAAAAATTTATAACTAATAAATCATCATTTAGCTCATAAATGTAAGAAGATTTTTTTTTATCAAAGCTAAAATCTACAAAAATGAAATATATTCTTCTTTAGAAATTCAATTCGAATATTATCTTTTCTGCACGTTTCTAATTGAATATACTATGAATATGTGTCAAACAAAAACTTTACAAAATTCGCAAATATACATAATTTGTATATTTAATGCATTCAAAATCAATATAGCATATTTGTCTTGGATAACTATGATTAATAACATGATGAAAACACTACATTCATTAAGTAGATGTGTATGTGCTCAGAATCAATATTAGCATAGCAAAATCTTTGAATTTGATCCCATCACGTGTCACAAGGAAACGGCTACTTACACACTCATTTATCACACACATTTGCCCTTTCATTGTTTTACTCTTTCATTGACTTGTAGAGTCCAAGAAAGGAAGCGTAACGACAGTTGGACATCTTTCCTATCTCTTGTTACAAAATCATAGTCTCTGTCGTACAACATTGCCTTTCTTTACAAAATCTTCACTCTTGATAGCAACCTGTGGCAAACATTTTTTATTTTTAGTCCACTAAAACCATACGTGGTGGACTCGGATATGTACATATAACCTTCTGAAAATCATTATTCTCTATGCCAACGAACTTCCTGCAAGAGACTACTAGCTTCACATTCCACATTCTCAAGATAAGATCTCCTCACAGGGCTCACTGGCTTATCTGATGAATTAACTGATAGTTCACTTTGAAATAAAGACCAAACTTCTCTAACGTGAAATCATGCACGACTCTTCTTCATGACATGAGCCTTTTGTCAACTGGGTAACACACTGCAAATGACAATTAGTGTCTTCCGCCTACCCTTCGTATCAATTTTCACGTATGAGCCAATCCCAAGTTTTCAGAAGGCTTGTAACAACGGATGAGATACAAACAAGAAGCACATCTCGATCAATTCTGATGGTCTTTTAGCACACTCTTACCTAAAGTACTTATGTTGAAATTTTAAGACTGCATCCGACATCCGTGAATTGCCACCTTTGAATTGCCACCTTGAATTTTACATATCATCAACCCCTTCCATGTTGAGACTCTCTTCGTATACCAAATCATATCACCTCGGCAGACACTTTTTCTCTGCACCATACAATTTTCAAAATATTTGTATGCATCATGGTCACTACCTTCAATGGCTTTGATAAATGTGATGTGCCTTACGGAAATGACAAATGACATTGCTCTATTACACGGAATGAAAAATTGGATTGCAAAATTAACTCTATTGAGATCCTATCGTCTACATTTCATCCCTTCCGGATAATATTGGAACGATACAGAGAATATTAGATGGCCCCTGCGCAAGGATGACATGTCATGGCTCGAGACGTTGGGTCGATTTGAGTTGAGACACGTTGAGTTTGAGTTGGAGTCGGAGAACGTTGGGAGTCGGCTAACGTTGGGCCGCGGCAGACGGGCGAGGAGCGTTGGATGGAGTCGACACCTTCCAGGGATATATTCGAGGCGAACTCGAAGAACTGTCAGTTCTTCGAGTTGAGCATTTCGCGTAGGGATATGTCAGTCCCGCTAGCTTTGACTCTGATTCCACCTACGAGTAGTGAGTTTGGCTCGACTCTCTGTGTACTTGTGTTTCGACATTTTTACTCGAAGAACTAACTGTAATCTATCGGTGAGGTGAATTTGCGGTCAGAACTTGTTTCTTGAGACATTTGGTTGTCGGAAGAACGTCTTGAAATGGTCGGTGAAGGGAGATCGACGACGAGCTGCTCGCGCGGCCGCTTCAAGAGAGCGGGGCTCGCAGTCGCAATTCTGCGCCAATTTGGTGTTTGATCGAGCGAGCAATTTTGAGCTCGTTCGGAGGAGAGGAGGGAATCGCGGGCCGAGATGGATGGGGTGCTCGTGACGCTGATTGGAGCTGCGTCTGGCAGGTCTTGAGAAAGGCTGCGTTTGAACAAACTCTATTATTGTGAATGAGCCTTAAATTGATCTTGCTGAAATTATTTCCAACCGCCTTCAATCCGGAATATCAAGATCAGTCTTGACAGAAGGGAATTAAGCTCAATTCATGGAAACCAGCACTCTCATGAGACTTCTACAAGGAGGCATGGGAAACTTCTACGGCCTAACGCTGAGATGTTCATCGTCGTAACTTGTTACTGTGTTGCGGGTCAAGAATCAAGAAGCGGGAGTGCTTCAAGAGGCTTTTATGATGTTTACCGTAGTTACGGTTCCTCTCCATCTACCAGGGAAGAGCTTCCTTCGATGCAGATGCTACAGTATGGTTACAAAGTGGTGACTTTGAAAGGAATATGGCTCTAGTATGGGAAGACGAGGAAGTTTTCTGTGGCATTTGACCAATAGTGTTTCGGGATACTTGCTAGAAAAGCAGGAAAATTATCATCAAAAGGACGATACAAAATGCATATATTCTACACGTTATATTTAGATCGAATGTCATAATGATACAACCTGTACCCCGTGGTTTTTTGGAGTGCTATCGCCCAGCCCAGAGTCAACGACCGTCTGGATGTTGCAACTTTTCCTAAATTCCCTTTTGTATATGCCCAAGGAAGGAGCTTACTGGTCCTTTTCTGAAATTGTCTAGTCATATGGATCGCCGCCTTGGATTTCATTTTGTGAACTGCAATACAGCCAAGTTGATGTTCAATTCTATGCAATCCTTACGTCTTGCATTAGTACTCTGAAATACGAATCAAGAATCTGAAATCATTCACTGTTATAATCAAGACAATCTCGTGAGACAGAGCTGGTGCGTACCCTCTAGTGGATGGACCTCCTGGAGAGTATACCGAGCTTGTTATGCCGATCTTGTTGTAAAGGCGGGTTGAAAATTCCGTGATGGCAAATTCCAGGATTTTCCGATGAAGATCAGCATTTGCAGCAGTTGCAGCAGCCCGAGCCGGGTGTCGGCGGAGCTCCCGCATAAGAAGCGGGGAATGTGAAAGTGCTTAAATGACATGGGTGGAGATTGAGAATTTATCTGAGAAGCAGAGCAAGGTCGTGATGGGAACAGGCGTCGGAATGTTTGTGCTATTGTGGAAGTGAACCGAGATTCTAGACTGGCGAAATGATTCGTGCCTGCGAATGGCGGGAAGGATTGAACATTCCTTAGCTGATTGAATATCAAGCGTGGACATTCAATGAGA